AAACAATTTGTAGAATTGATATAACTTGACACCTATTGTGTTTATTAATATTATTAGCTACTATTGAGATTTTCAATAATAACACTATTGAATGTACTAATATCGATCCATTTTTCCTGTTATGATACATGATCAGTTTTTCACGTTTTTGTATAAAAGAAAATATTGAAAACGTAGAAATATATTCTTATTATTATTATAGAACTGAATGTTATATGTACACAATTTGTAATTAAAAAATAAGTATTTTCATCAATTCTTTCTCACATAGATTTTTTATACATCATATCATGTTAGTAATATTTTGTTATAGATATATTTGATAAAGGTAATAGAACGATCATTCATGGCTCTTTCAAATGTGGCTTATATTAATTTTTCAATATGAGAAGATGAACGCGTTACATCGACTATCTGCTGTCATTCTCATTATTATTGACATTTGTCTCTAATATTTTATACTTAATTCCTATAAAAATGTGGATGTAATATTGACAAATGTTTGAGCTAATGATTGGAAAGTTACTATCAAAAAAGAAGAATATTGTTCAGAACTTAACAGTAATATATCGGGTTATGACTATCGAGTAAATGTCGTGATTTTTATAATTATAATATGATTCTTTATTGCGAAAATCCAAGGTGAACAGTCGAATGAAATAAAAATAGTTCATTTTCTTCTTGGCGCCATTTACCTCGTCATGCTCTTGATTCTAAATTAAAGAGAGTCTAAAAGCGTATCTAAATATTTATTTTTTTCAAAAGTTTGAGCTTATTGAATAACTATGGAGTGAGATTTATTCGTTAGTTGTCTTTCTTCTCATTTTTAATGATATTAATCAGTAAATCATACTATTTTCCTATTTGATTGTCTTCAAAACTCTTATTTTTCTATATATCCTCCTTATTATCTAATTTATATACTAATACTAAAATATTATTTTGACCCTCACATTTTAGTCATTTGTGCTAAATATTTATCAGCTTTCATCTTTTTTTTCTTCTTTCTTCCAATTAACTGATTTAGAAGTAATAATCAACGTACGTTACTAAATCACGATCTAACACACATACATAGCTACTGATGATTCGATATAACACACATCATTAGAAAGAGAGAGTATGTACAGAATTCGAAAAAAAGAAAAACTATAGTGTGTAAAATGATATTAAATCATCTACTTACGTTGAACGCTTTTGATATTTAATGAATATGTTATCTATCTCGTAGTTTATAAAATTGAATATAAAAATTATTCTCTCCTATCAGCAATGGCCTGGATCAATCCTAGAAAAAAAAAAAAACACTGAAAACATAAGCGAATTGCACGCCGTCATTTTCTCTCCAGACAGAGTCTCATCCCACCTTTACAAATCTTATAGACAGGGTAACTTATAGTCTGATAAGATCCTATCAAAATTTTATCAAATCTTTAAATTGTTCGGTCGCACGATCTTAGTGAGATTTGTCCAACAGCATAGAGAAAACATCCAAGAAAGTTTCTCACTAAGAACTTTGTATTGAACTCATTTCACGTGTGATTTATTTTTCTTAAATCGTCATTTTCACATAATTAGTATAGTAACCAAGTCAAAAAATACTACTGAGATTCTACATGATTCTATAAAGTTAGTGTAAGACTCTACGAAAAATCTTGGTCTTGGAAAATATGTCAAATTTCTATAGAATCCTATCATGTTCTATAATAGAATACCATTTTTGAGACAGAGGTTATCTACTACTTTCTACATGATTCCATTGAGTTATACAGAATTAGAGAGGATTCAACTGCATGATTATATCATTTTGAATGAGTCTTTTCGTAAAGTGCTCTCTTATAACATCTTATGAATATAAAATCGTTTAGCTTCTCTTCGAGCCTAATTTAAGGTTATTTTCTATTCGTAGTAACTAGTGCTAAATAAGCAATATTGTTTTTATTATGAAGATTACAACAATCGTCACTATTTAACTATGATTGTATACTGTTATCTCTCTCTATAGTCGTTTTGGTTGAATGTTCGTTTTATCTAATACATTCTATAGATTAATACATATAGAGCATTAAATCGGAAAATACTCCTACTTATACGTATATATATATATATATAGCTTTTACTTTGCTCGTATGGACACCGACTTAACAAATATGTTTCATGAGTTGTCAGAACTGTACACATCTGCATACTATTTGGAAGACTAATGATCAATTAACATTTTTACAGAAGTAAACGAAATTCTTGAAGTAGGTGGAGACTCTTTTATTGTTTATGACTGTTGAATAAACATATTAAAAATAACTTATGAATGAATCATTTTTATCTTCATATTTTTTCTGTTACTCATAGTTATTAGAAGAAAATATAAACTTTAAATAATGATTATACTGACTAGAATGTATTCTCTGATCTACTGTTGTATATTTAAATTAAATTATACATTGAATTTGATTCATTCGTTTTCAGAAAACAGGTAGTCTGTTGATATTCAACAACTGTAACGATCAATAAATTAATAATCGAGACATACGTGAATATAAATATATAGGAACAGAGAGAGAGAGAGAGAGAGAGAGAGAGTCATAGTGCGTGTTAAGATAATTAGAAAGCGTGTAAAATAAGAATAAATCATTGTTATTACTAAATAAAGTCCCTGAACTTTAATTTAAAACATTTCTAATAGATATTTGATTAAACTAATATGACGAGACGAAACATTCTGTTCATGTTTTTGTTGTATCAAAAACAAAAAAAAAAAAATAGAATTTTTAAAAAGACATAGTTGATATTGCATGACATGACAGGTGTCAACTTATTGTAAGCATTTTATAAACATAATTTGAATAAATTTAATTTGAACTAAATAGATAGGTGTCTATTTGCTAGAAAATACGTTTCCATAAATTTTATTATACGCAAATAACTTATTAATAAGACACAAGATAGATGATGACAGATTTCTATTTTTAAAACGACCTGGTCAATAATATACTTCAATTTCTTGCATTTCTGGTTTACGAAAGATACACATTGATCTATCCTTGATCTTTAATCCTACTTCGTTGCTGAACATGCAATGTCATATATCTTATATACGCACATATTAGTTTGACAACTTCCTGTATAGGAAAAAAACTCATTTTTGTTCTATTTGCCATAAAAGACTACAAGGTCATTATAATTAACTATATCCTTAGAAATAAAATTTAAAAATCATAAGATAAATACAGAGTATTTTGCTAGTGAATTATATCACAGATTTTTAAATACCTGTTTTGTTCAATTATCAGCTATCACTGTTTACAATGAACAATATATTTGAAACATAGTTTGAATGAACAATTATAATAATTAATTATTCGATAGATTGATTCATCACACGTAGAATACACTGAACATTGATTATTTGTGTGACATTGCATAATTTTGTCTCTTTCATATCGGCCCATTGTGTCATCCTCTATTTGTACAAGATATTTTAAAATTATATTTTATCAGTTTCAAGAAAAAGATCACATTTACAATAAACATTTTATAAACGTGAGTTTTGTCTTGAAATTATAGTTTGATTTAATTGAAATTTTTTAATGTTCAATTTTTTTTTATCAAAATTTAAAAATGAGAACGACTAAATCCACAATAGCCTGATATTGTTCTAATTACATGAAATAATCATTTTTTCTCTATTGAAGAAAAATGTTTTCTTGATTATGACTTTCGTTTTTTTCCAAAGATGTAACTTATATTGTACTAGTTTTTACTACAATCAATACCACAGGAGATATTGCAACTTATTGGCCTTTATCTAGAAGAGTGAAGAGTAGAGTGTAAAGACGTAAGAGAGTTTTATAATAAGACATTGAGCAGTTATTGTTAACATAATGATATTATGTATGGTAACTGTAAAACTTATTTCCTTTTGATATATATTAAATAAATCGTAAATGGCGGTTGTTGTATAGTCTACAGTTAACGATATGTTATTTCTCTATGTTAAGCGTTGACAACATGTCTTGTTTCTTCTATATACTTACTATCCTCTCTCTTTACACAAGTAGAAAAAAAGAAAAGAGAAGAAAAAGAGAGAGAGAGAGAGAGAGAGAGAGAGAGAGAGAGATGTTCAAAATAGAAAATACGTGACGTTCTCTCTTATTCCGTTGCATCTCCTTCAATAGTAACAGTCACTTTTCACTTTTATAACTCAATTCGATAAATGTGAACGAAATTCATCGATAAACATTATCGTTTATTATTATTATTTCAGAGATACGTGTGATGAATGAGTTTTTGAACACATTTGATGACACTTCTAAGTCATTAAATTTAAAATTGATAACGATCGATCGGAGACATATATAGTAAAAATGTGTTTATTTGGGTGGTGAAACAAGATTTTAAACAATTGATACTATCTAATTTTATTTTTTAACGCTTATTAAACAAAGATATTTATGTTTAAAAAAAATTGTAAATGTAAAGTAAGAAATTCATCAACTCTTTCGGTTGATACAATGAGAATAATAGAGATGTTATCTTATGGTTTTAGTCAATAAAAATCCACATCTATTCAGACACGTTTCTGCAATAGTCTTTTTCTATTTTCTCTACCATTATCTATATATCCTCAGTATATGTCGAGTATGACACTTTTTTTTCTCTACAAAAGCTATTATTATGCGAAGATCATTGTATATACCTTTTTTTTTTTTCTTCTCTAAGATGACCATCATACAATTAAAAAATATTGACAATCACAATGTATACATTTCTCTCTTTCTTCTTCTTTCCTTGGATTAGTGTGTTTCATGCTCGATCAGATTTATCATATTCTATAGACTCTAGTAGAAAATAGGTATAATTTTTATTTTTATTTTTCTTCACTCATGAACTTCGATTGAAAGAAGGGAGAGAACTATAAAGTAATAAATTTTTCTAATAAATTTTTATATTCTATTTCAAGATCAATTTTTTAAAATAGTTATCAATAATTTGATTTAAGAATGTTATTAATATTGTACATATTTATATTCAATTTCATTATTATACAAGGAGCAATTCTACGTTTACCATCTATAACTGTTAAGGAACAAAGTTCAATTGGTTCATCTGTTAGTGATATTAGTCGAATATATTCTAATCGATCACAAAAATTACGCTATACATTTTTATCTGAAACAAGTTTACATAATTCCTATTTTATTATTGATAGTTTAACTGGTAAAATTTCAATAAAACGAATGATTGATAGAGAAGAATTATGTCGAACAAATACGTGTAATTGTGAACGATGTATATTAAATTTGGAAATTGTTGCTTCAACTGATACTGTTGATATACTTTCATTAGAAGTTTTAATCGAAAATATTAATGATCATGATCCAACATTTCCCGTTTCAACATTTACCATTCGAATATCAGAAAATACAGATATTGGTAAATATTTATTATAAAAAAAAAAAAAAAAAAAAAATATTTTAATATAAAAATTTAAAGATTTATTTTTTTGAAGGATTTTAAATAATTATAAAAAATAANGAAAGAAGAAGAAAGAGAGAAATGTATACATTGTGATTGTCAATATTTTTTAATTGTATGATGGTCATCTTAGAGAAGAAAAAAAAAAAACTTGTATAAAATTTATAGTCATCATACTTATGTGTATATTCTTATATCTAGGTTATATGGCATCATTTCCATCCGCCATTGATCTTGATTATGGACAAGGTCAATCATCAAATTATTTAGAATATAAACTAGTATCAATTGAAATGAATGATAAAGATTTAAATGAAACATTTCAAATAATTGATTTACATACAGAAAATCAATTAGGTTTAAAATTATTAAAAAAATTAGATCGTGAAATACGAAATTTATATCGTATGAAAATAATTGTATATGATTCAAGTGATGAATATCAACAACGTACAGGTATATTATTACTTAATGTACAAGTACTCGATTCAAATGATAATATACCAAAATTTGAACATGATCAATATCATATTAAATTAAGAGAAAATACACAAATTGGAACAGAAATACTTCGTGTACAGGCCATTGATAATGATGATGGTTTAAATTCATTAATTAATTATACAATTGTTGTTAATAATCGTAGTACTACTCGTCAACAATTATTACCATTTTCAATTAATATTAGTACAGGTATTATATATGTAGAAAAATTATTAGATTATGAAATAGAAACAAATTATCGTTTTTCTATAAGAGCACAAGATAATGGTCCCGAATCTGTTAGTGTTTATTGTCAAATTAAAATTGATATACTCGATATTAATGATGTAGCACCAGAAATTGATTTTATTTTACCCGATAATGATGAATGGAAAATTGATATTAAAAATAATATTTTTTATATTAATGAAGAATTAAAATTATATACAAGATTATTTCATATAAGTGTTAGTGATAAAGATTCAGTTAATGATAAAGTACAATTAAATTTATTAAGTTATACAAATTTATTTCAATTAATTGAACAGTATACAGATTTATATTCATTACAAATTATTGGACGATTAGATGCAGAAAAACAAAATGAATATAAATTAATTTTTGAGGCAAAAGATCAACCGTATCCAGGTAAAATAATTATTTGTTATTATTTTAAAATTCAATCTAAATTTTTCATTACATTTGAATTTTACACTTTTTTCTTATGGAAGTGAAAAAGAATGAGAGCAAAAGTTCTTATTTAACCAAATTTATTTTATCTCTCTTCTAACACTCTGTAGAGATTAGAATTTTTTAACCGTTTTTCATGAATTATTATCGTGCGTCTGTCATCTCATCACAAAATTGAATAGACAAAAAAATCAACGTTTTCGAAATAAATTTTGTTATTTTTTCAAAATATCAATGTAGGAGAAGGAGGAGGAGTTAACAGGAAAACATTTTTTATTAACGTTTTTCATATTCAGCAGAATAGATTGGGCTTATCAGACTTGTTGTTCGTCAAACAAGTCAAAAAAGCATTGTGTGTCGAAGTTCGGCGCTGGGACCACAAAATCAAATCTTGAATAAATTATTTAAGTATTTATGTATTTCTGATGAACCGTTCGTGCAACATTTCACTTAGATACTTACTAGAAAGCGAACATGTAGTTGCAAAGTATATATGAAGAGCTTAAAAGATTATATGAAAGAACTCGTAGTTTTCTGCCGAGAGTTGTAGTTAATGATTAGATTTACGACGTGGATAACCATCTTCAAAGATTATCGACTATTCAAAACTGAAAGTATGACTTATTGTCTACATTATACACTAGCAACGGTAGTCATCATGAGAAATGTTCCAACTCGTTTACATCTTCCTTCATTTGAAACTTATGATTTTTTACATGATCACTTATTAAGAAAAATTAATTTGTTCATAAGTATTAGTTCTTCCAAAAAATTTAGGAAATTTATCTCGTCAGTATGCCGATTAAGTGTTGAAACCATTAATTTAATCTAAATATTTTACGGTAATGTATATTCCCGTCTCAATAGTAAAGTTTAACATTAACTTTGAGAAAGACTTTATTTCGCTAAATGTCACCATCCATTGTTGAAATCTTGTTAGATTATCGATAAATATCAAATCTGTTTTAATTTTCAATAGAAGACAGACTTGATTCCATAAATTTCGACGTGAGTAATTTGGATTTAAATCAAAGATTCTATTCTATTAAATCTTTTCAATATCTGTTTTCCTCTTTCAAGCAAATGGTCCATCAATGTCAACTCAAAAATATCTTAAAATTATTTTATTGGATATTAATGACAATTATCCAATTATTGAAAAATTACAAAATCCTCTTAGTGTAATTGAAAATAATCCAATTGGAATTAAATTAGGTCAATTTCAAAGTTATGATTTAGATTTATCAATTAACAATAGTTTATTGACATATACATTAATTTCATCAAATGATTCACAATGTTGTTTGTTAGATTCAACAAATGGTATTCTCTATGCTAATAGAACTTATGATTATGAAAAACAGACTATTTATTATTTAACACTTCGAGTTAATGATAATGGAGAACCATCATTACATTCATTAATGGATTTTCAATTATATATAAATAATTCAAATGATAATAGTCCAATATTTAAACAAAAAAATTTTACATTTCAAATATTCGAAGATGTGCCTATTCATACTTACATTGGACAATTAAATGCAACTGATTTAGATTCTGGTATATATGGTATTGTAAGATACGAATTGTTATATACTCAATTATATAATGAACCAGAATATATTGAAATTTCAACGATAACCGGTGAATTAAGAACAAAAGCATTATTAGATTATGAAACATATCCTGTACATAAATTTCATGTTATTGCTAAAGATAGCGATGGCCATTCAGATAAAGCCCTGGTAATAATCCATGTTCTTGATATTAACGATAGTAAGTACATATTTAATATATAAAATGAAATACTATAATAAATTATAATCTATTTTATATAGATGCGCCTCAAATTGATTTTCCAACAAGTGTTAATAATCTTGTTTATATATCAAGTAGTATGTTAAATCAAAATTATTCAGAAACAATTTTAATTACAAGAATAATTGCCATAGATCATGATTATGGACAAAATGGAAATTTATCTTATAAAATTGATGATGGTAATATGTTTAATTATTTTCGTATTCATGAAATAAATGGAACAATATTAGCACAATCCGATAATTTACCATTTGGTTATCATCGTTTACGTATACGTGTAACTGATCATGGATGGCCAAGTTTAAGTACATTGACCTATTTAAATATTAAAGTTGGTGAACATATAAATAAGAAACATTTTCAATTAGTTAAAGCTGAACAAAGATTATTATCGGAAAATAAAACAATAAAAAATAATAATAATTTAACAAAAGAAATGTTATTTGTTGTTATAATATCATCGATATTAACTTTAATATTCAGTATTAGTATGGGCATATTAATTACATTATTATGTAAACGAAAACGTTTTCATATATCAAAAACAATGGATTTATTATCGGATGATGACAAACTGTTGACAGTTGGTACAACTACAACAAATGGAACGGATACTAATAACAAGACAAATACATTGGTAAGCAAAAAAATAGTTTCAACGCATGATAGACAGTGAGTGAACAGAGAAAACTGTTGTTCATTCAAAGCTAATTGTGTAGTTATATGACCGTGAAAAAAAAATAATATCGATATATGAAAACTTTTTTTGAATTTTCTGAGAGTTATTAGTTTATTAAGAATAACCAGACAATGACTAATTAAGTACTATTCATTAAGATAAGTAGTTTTAGAAAATTATCAGACACTGATCTAAAAGTATGAGGTACAAGTGTACGATATATATGAACAACTGTTTCACTCCTGTTAATAACTTTTGCTTCTTCCTACTTTGATTGATTCTATGAGTATCGAGTTAAATGTTGTCTAATTGTATTTAAAGGTCATTGAAAAATCGTGTAATCTCTTTGTGACAAACGATCATATCGAAGAAATGTAAAGTAAAAACATACATCTCTAATCCTTCATTGAATTGGCAAGCTGGGACTTTTATATTCATTTATAACTGTCCATTTTTATGTCTATGTACACAAAAGGTCATAGCTCGTTATGAAAATCAATAAAAAAAGAGAAAGAAAAACGGTAAAATGATTAAATATCATATAAGGTAACGAACCTTTATTGTGCATGAAACTAACAAATTATTGGCACCTGTCTGCCGTTAGTCAGCTATGGCTATTATTTTATAGTATAAACGCGTGTCTAATATAATTTTAGAAGTAAAACAGCCATCAAAATTGTATTTCCTTTTTATACAAAGACAATTAACAAGAGGCATAAACGATTCATTACATCATATGTATAAAAAAAAGAAGAGGAAACAACTAACTTTTCAGCACAATGACGTCTATTCCATCTAGCATGACTCGGTTGTTCCGTTAGAAAAATAATTATTTAAGTTAAAAAGTTTTTAATTGTGATCTGTTGAAGCAAGTTAAAATGTTTCTTCTTCATCAAACAAAACAAAAGAAAAGAAAAAGTGATGGCAGCTATTGTGATGTATTTAGTATAAAATTATGTAACCTAAAGAGTCAAAATCATTTTCTAATAGAGCGATGATTAAACACTTCATCGAGGAAATTAGACATGAAGTTGATGTGAATAGAGAATATGAATCCCTCTGTCTTTAATGATTACATATAATCCGAAACGATTCAAGACGTGTATAGAGAGAATAAAAAAAGAGAAATATATAGATCTGTTAGAGTAACAGCAGTTTTTCGTAATACATTTCATTTCTGAGAAAGACATAATAGCTGATATACTTACTTTCATTAGAACATTAAATAACAAATGTCTGGAATATTTATTTACAGAAAAATATGTTCAATGGAAAATACAAAATTAACAGACTTCATTTACATTGGAGGGAGAAGAAGCTATCTCTCATAGACGCTCATGATTTCTGCATAAAGAAAATGTTCATTTCTGTATTTTCAATCTATACAGTTTTTACTCTAACTTCGATAATATAGCTTGACAGAACCCGAAACTCACTATTCATTCACTATAGAAAAATAAGTTTTACCAAGGCTCGATAACTATTGAAGAGATCAGCGACGGCAGATCTGAACCTGGACCTGGCAGATCCAGATCCAAACGTGTAATAAAGCCTGAAAATCTCGGTCTCTAAGCGGTTAACTCTAATTCTCAAAGACAAGATTGTGAGAGATAGACCAGAAACAGAACCTGTTTTCCTCGGATCTAACAAGCGTGGGCCAAATCTGAACCTCGACTTGACTATAGACCTGGACGTTAGATTCCAAGTGAACTTTAAAGCCTAATGAATATAACTCTAAATGGGACGTTTTGACACTATTCATTATCTTGAAATAAAGAATGCCCAAAATGAAGATTGTGATGAAGCAAACGATACGTTCAATGGATGAAACTGAAGCGAGTTTGTAATAGAATTTTGCCATACTGAATTTTACCAGTAATCATTACTAGAATACCGTGTATCCAAGCTGAACACTAACCCAAATTATTTCTATTAGGCTTAAAAGTTCACTTCGGACCTCAGGTCCAGGTTCGTATCCAAGTGCCAGATCAAGGTTAGGTCAGGTCCAGGTCCGAACGCAGTAGGTTCATGTCACATTTCACAAGTCTATTTTCAAGGTCTCAGTCAATGGTCAGGTCCATCTAACCTGGACCTGACGGTCTCAGGAAGAGGTGTGTGACCATCTTTAAAGATCTTAACCACAGAAAAGATATCGAATCAATCAAAACTAACAAGTCTAACTTGTCAGCACCATATGCTACATATGCAATGATCACCATAAGTTGAGTATCCTTTCTTTCTTCATCAGCCCAAAAACTACAATTAAAAGCCAACAATTGTTGAGCTCTGACATCTTCACACTTTTCCAAAATAGACTTTTTTTGATACCTAAACATACACTCTTAAAAATACGACTTCTAGAAAGACACCGAAGTCGGTTCCCATTCGGTCACTTTGATGGGTCTTCTAAAAAGACGCATTAAAAAATATTTTTCGTTTCTGGCGAGAGTTGAACTCGATATATTCACTCACCAAATGAATACGTTCAGCACAGAATCATACAAGCACATTAATTAGTTTTACTAGCCTCGCAGACTGACTTTTTATGCGAGACTTTTATTACAAAATCTAAACCAGAGACGTATGAAAGTCAGCAGAAGAAATAACGAGCACTTTTTTTGATCTTTCCTAGCAATTGACTTGTCTTAAATGCTAAAGTTGACAGTCTCCACCACTTCCTCTGTCTTCAACAACTTGTATCTGTATTTCTTATTTCTATACACGTATTTTTGTATCTATTTCAGAAAATTTCATTAAATAATCAACAATATGATAATGGAAACATCAATGGTGATTGTAATACATCAAAAGGTAGTAACAAGCGGTATGACGACATCCTTGGTATGAGGATCAATTCTGAAGATAGTTGCTATGAAAGCAACGATTTATCACGATCCTCTTCGAGTGCTCATGGTGTCTCTGCGACCAGGCCGCTCCTAACCACTTATCATCGTTCACCTAGTTTAAGTTCAACATCTGTCGATTATGCAGTGCCTACACCTCGAATAAGTAAAAATAACGTTCCCATTGACATTCATATTGCGAATAGTACTAAAAGTGATTTGGATAATGATAACCAACAACAACAAAACTTCTCTGCA